ATACAGACACGCGATTTTTTCATATGGTTAAAGTTGCTCTTAAAGTTTCTTTAACCCGGTTCTTCTATACGTGTGGTATTGAAGAAAAAGTTATCAGAGAGTAGAGGGAAGTATGCCGTGTCCATTTTCCGAAAATACAGCATTGTGCCGCCAACCCGATTTCTGTACTGACTCAAGTATTCGTCACAATGTCCTGGATAAGATTCGAACCAACTGATATAGTCCATAGGAGTAGCATTTACCCAAAATATACTCGTAAATCCCGATTTTTATTTCATCTATTGGATGTCACTGAACATCAAGTGTACAAGGTTACCGCATGCCATTGATACTACCTCTGTCAATTATGCAGATCATATTTTTCAGTATTTCAGATACTACATGTCTGCTTGAGCTCGTATTGGCGAACCAGGTAAACTATGCAACAATACTTTATTTTCATTTCCCAAATCTTTGTCCATAACATCCGGATTATAAGTTTTGAGTGGAAATATAATAAGTAAATATGCCACAAAAAAATCGTTGTGTATTTTCAGTTTCTCTACAATTTCAGTAAGCTTTAGATCTCGTTATTTTACCCTCAGATAAAAAAAATACGATTACTTATATGCGATGCATAAAGTATATTTTAGTATTGGCGTTTATAAACAACACTTTTATAACTTTTTACCAAATCTTCTGAACCACTTTTAATTGATATTTATTTTGAGTCTATGATAATAATATTATGATTATATAAATTAATTCAATAAATTGTGCATATTTTGTTTTTACTTTCCTTGATAAACTCATCGCTAAAAACAGCTCATTAACTTTTATAAAATATACAAATCGCAATTGATCAAACAGATTTGCCATGCAGATTAAGTTGACGAAACGCTCTATTATCAAATAGAATCAATAAAAAATAAATTACAGTGCCTACATCTTTTGTAATATTTTTTTTACTACGAGTATGTGTTGTTTTAAAACAACGGTAGTAAAAAGTGGGTTAAAAACAACACAACGTAATCTGAGAATATTTACATCCGTAGCATGCGCTCTTCTAAATTTTCGGGGGACAAATATTCGCACTTCGTGTGCATTGAGTCCGTAACAAGTCCGCGGTGGACATTTTCTTCGCGATTCAGGGACTTTTGTCCTCCGCGGACAAAACTTCCAGCTTCATAAATCACTACCATTCTCTTATCAGGAACTGCCTTTCATACCACACTCACTTTGTATTATTCGCTTTGCTAGGGCGTTTTTCTTCTTACGTAGTTGCGCATTTTCTATTTAGATACCGAAAAGGTAAGCATTCGAAACAATACGCGGCGTTAATCCACACGAGGGCAACCGCAATTAAGCGGAGTAAAATTGAAAATTCCGCCTTTAGGTTGAGCAAAGGTTACTGCATAAGATTCGCCCGATCGCTGTTACTTAAATGGATTCAATCTGCACTAAGCGTTTCGTTAATGAAATTCAATCGCGGCGAGAAGCGCGGGGAGCAAATGATGTGGCGAAAAGATTGATGGGAGGAGGGACCCACACCTATGTAGCCTTAGTTATACCGGACCGAACTTGAAGAGCCGATTTGTTCCCGCCATTAATTGATATTAGTTGCTCAAGTGTATTTGATACCCGTAAAGTTTAGGTTTGCGGGTCCGTTTTGAAGCAGAATACATTTGAAAATGGGTAGATAGAGGGTAACAATGCAAAACTAGATGGGATACGTGCAGAAGTTATTCAGCATTTTTATTACTTTTTATTTATTCTAGTTACACATGCAGGCTTACAGAATAATCCAAAACGCCGGCAAGTCATATATAAAAAATATTAACATTCATAGAAGGTATTCATTCAATTCATTAAAATTAAGAAAAAGAGATAATAAAAAAAAATAGTAATGTCAAATAGAAATAGAAACAAAGTCACTCATTGTAAAAATATTATTAATGGACGTTATAATAAAATAGATAATAATGACAAATCAATAAAACAATTAATGTCATATCTAATGTCAACAAAGAACAAATAATGTCATACCATTTTAATTATAAATAAATGAATTGTCAAATTCAGGAATAATCAATTAATCAATGTACTAATAACCTTCTAAGAATAATCGGGTACAATTTTTTTGTTTATTTATGAATAAGTTTTACTTTTGTTGTTGTTGTTTGGGTAAAGGATCCGAAACGTCAAGAATGATGTAAAAGTTAAATAAATTGCGCTGCACAAAGATGCTTGATTTTTATTATATTGCTACTAAGTTATTTAACTAAACACCTAAACATATAATTTAATTGAAGGAAAAATCATATAGGTTATAATTAATTTAGAAATCCTAACTCGTATGGCACTTATTATTTTAAATATGTAAGCGAGCAACTAATCGAATGAAGGTAAAGCCAGGAATACACGGAACTTTTTGTTCGTTTTAACCGTTTGCGACAATTTCCGCAGTGTGGCGGAGACGCGGCGCGACGGAGCGTGCGGCCCGCGCGCGTGAGCGTGCAATGGGCCGGGTTAATCTGCAAGGCTGTAAGTTTTTACAGCCACCGTAAACCACTGGTCGGTCCGGTCGCATCGACCGTTCTATAGTATTGAAAGTCTCAAACATCGTATTTTTAAACTGGCGGCCTTGGGATCTTACTCTATAACTATGGGTAATAGACGTATTCCTGTCGAGCGGATTGACTTCATTTTTCTTAATTTTGCAGTTTTATCTCACTGAAAGTGACCCCAATAACAAAGTATTTTCGAACAGCATTATCAACCACAAAATATCAAATAGTAGAGAGTGCGAACAAGAAGACAAATGTGAATACCCTATTCTTTTAATTTAGTATCACGAAGTTAGTGTTCTGCATTCATACAGGAATACAAACGAAGATAAAGCCACCTTCTATACAACTGCATTTTAAACTCCTGAAAGTGCCTGGTTTACCCAACGATATTAAATATCCTAGATACACCATGTGCGCTCAAAATGTGTCCCAATCAAAAAGTGCTTGAACACGCAAGACTCAAGCACTTCTTGGTCCACAGTCACGCGCGGACCGTTGAAAGTCAAGATGCCTGATGATTATAGTACGTAAAGTGTCGTTTTTTCGACAGGTAGGTAAACAATGTTTGTTAATTAAACGCATTTAAAGCAAATTTTGTTCAAATGCTTACTATAGACTGATTTAATAGCAAAAATTTTAGTGATAATCAAATGCATGATCGGTAATATAGCCGTCTCTTTTCCTCGCGATCAGTACCTGATATATTGCTAACAGCACATTCAGAATTGCGTGTAGTGTCAAAGAAATAAGAACTATATTCTTCCGCATATAACAATAAGTCGTAAAATTTTAAGAGCTTGCATTTCGAACTGTCGTAACTCTTTGACTTTCAATGTTTAAATAATGCGTTATATTGTTTTAGACAAACCCGATCATCTTATGGAGCTCCGTGGATCGTCCAATGTACGTTTTGGACCAACATTGAAGAGAATCAACACGACTGCTACCCATGCAGCAAAATGCAAGCTTCTAAAATGTGAATATTCTTTTTTTTATGTTTAATCCTAATAATAAAACCGATATTCATCAACTGTTAAACGGTACAAGGGCGCCGGGTCAGCTAGTGCATTTTATTACCGAAAATTATAAGCATATGAAATTGATTTTCATAATTTAGCAACAGATTATTTATATTTGTTCATCTTCATATATGATTCAAAATATATCAGGCTATTTAATTTAATAACGCGGCTAACCTGATATGTTGTTTTCCAATTTACACAAGAGGCATGACAATAAAAAACAGATTTTATTGAAGTTTAACATATCAAATATTTCATTTCGTTCGCCCATCCGAGACTTGCTTAGATCTCATTACAATGGTCACAGAAAAAAATGCTACCTCTAAGTAACCATACCCTTTTTAAAAAAAACAAGTAAAGACTTACAAGACTCGGTCCCGACTCGTTTAATACAATATCTGGACACGTGTTTGATACCACCCCCCCTACCCGTTGCCATCGATCAAAGCTACCACCGACAGAATTGTTTCGCAACTTTGAGCACGGAACTCGCCACCCTTGATGAGCGAAGCACTACCAATTGCATATTAAGCTTCTACAAGTTTAGTAAATTATAACTGGAAATAGGAATGATTCTACAACTGTTAAGCTATAGTGGGTCACGTTTTTAGGGTTCCGTATCCAAATGGCAAAATGTGATGACATAATGAAGCTGTACTTACTGAGTCGATCCTTTGTGATCTGGACGTTTATTTACTTTCTGATAATATTTTTGGTTTGTGTACATGACACACAGTCAATATTGTTTAAATCTCATATCAAAGTGTACGAGATTTCTATTTACCTCGTATCATGTAAAGATACCGCTAAATCTCAAACGTTAGAGTTCTCATACGTTTGGCAAACCTTCGCGGCGCGCCATCCGCACCCGCGGACTCACAGGCCGTCGGACAGCACCTTAAGATTTACGTTGACTGCTCTGCGGGCGCTCGGGCGCATATGTTCATGTCACAAGCTACGGTCAAGCATTAATCAATTCATACAAAAAGTATACCATAATGTTTGACCGTGCCTTGGCCGGGGCACGGCCTGGCCGCGAAACGGTGTAGCATGAGTAATCCACGTAGCCACAGCATAGATAGAGAACAGCTCTCTATCTCTCTTTCATAACTGATGATCGCGATCTCTTGACTTTGCAGTCAAGATGATTTGTACATTTCTCTACCCACATTTGCTCTCATCACCTAATAAAATTTGAGGTTATCTCAAGAGGATACTTTGAGATTGAAAGTACTTGCCTGCGCGATCTACGTATAATTTTGTTTTTTGATTGTTCACTGTCCAGCCCATGTCCGTTACTCTCTTTTCTGTTGTGTTAAAAGGTTCTGAAAGTTGGAACGCTCCAAATAGTGCGGAAAAAAATTGTGAGAGAGAAATTACACTATGCCCTTAACAAATTCAAAGGCCTATACATCTGCACTCATTCAGTTCATAGGAAATCGGAGAAGCGCGCACAGTTTGACAGCTGATTAATGCAATTCGTGCGGCCGGTGACTCCTAGCGGACGGATTAGTCTGGTGACATATATTGAAATGGATCCTGTCACGATCAATGTTGATGCATTGTCGCTGTGTTCCGCCTGCCCGCCGCCCAACGGCAGCGGTGCAATGGAAACCTTCATAATTCACCCATAGAATATCAGCAATCGTGTATAGGATATGTTTCACACAACATCTATCGGCTGCGTTTTGTAGTTAGTTTCCTACACATTACTTTGATTTTTTTCTAGTTTCCCTGTCTTCTTTCCCAAAGGTGAATGACAAAATGAAGACTGCCAGTTTTCAAGATCACCTTGACAAACAAACAGACACTTATAGTAGAGACGTGGTGTGGTGCCCTCGACTTCGACTGCGTATTGTAATTGGTATCCCACACATAACTTTTCTTTTTCTGGTTTCCCTATTTTCTTTCTAGTTTTATATTTTGGATATACTGTACTTCCAGGGCCCAAAAGTAAAAACTTCACAGTTTTGTTGGTTGTAATTTCGCATTTTTGTTGTTACAAAGGTTTCTGTTGACCACATTATTAAAAAAAATGTCACACTTATGCACTGGTAGTTTTTTAGAAAATAATATTGAAAATTTTTACTTTTCTTATCAAGTGATGATACTTCATACTAGGTTAGGTTAGGTTAGTGTTGTGACCACAACGCGCGAGCCGAGCGAGCAAAGCGAGCGTGCCGCGGCAGCGGCCGGCGAAGCGCCAGAAAAAAAATCTGTTAAAAAGACCTTTTCTACAAAAAAAAAACAAATAACACCTTTTGGGCCCTGGAAGTACAGTTTTACCTATATTTTTGTTATGTAAAAGGGTGGCAAACAAAAAAAAGCGTATTGCTCGCCTGATGGTAAGCGGCCGCCGTAACCTTTAGACGCTTGTCTTACAAAAAATATCACCAGCATCGTTGCCTACTCTACAGGGTAGGAGGATGCTAGATATATTTACCCCCACGGGCTAGAGGCTTTGGTCCTGGTCCCGGACCAAATCCCCTAGCCCGTGGAGTCCTAGAATTTTATTTTTTGGATTGTTGAAGAATCACATACTTCAAAAATTAAAAGTGCCCGCTGCCCGCATCTCCCACGGTCCCCGTTCTCGTCCTCCCCCACACCCTGTACCCCGCAGGCGAAGACTCAGTTAAGCGGTCTACCTATAGTGACAACGACGTAACCACAACATCACATCCAAACTCTTAAAAAATATAATGATTAACTTTACTGGATTGTTGGAGAAAGTGATTCGATGATGCCATATGCGTCCGTTTAATATTTTCAAATACTTAGGAGCATAGAATCAAGTAAAAAATAATCATTTTTAGTAAAAAGATCCAAAAGAAAAGCAAAATATGTAATGATATTTCATTGCTATTCGAAAAAGATTAGTTTACGTAGATACCATTTTCGTGGCAGTCACTTGTAAATAATAAAAAAATAAAAAAAAACATGATGTCCGTTAAAAAATTAACTAAAATGAAAAGTGCTTGGCTTGAAGTCATCAATTTTCTAGTAATTATCTCGTTTTACAGATAAACCCGTTTATTAATGCTACTATATTTTTATATATTTGATATGGTCTCATTAAGATCTTTCAAATATATAAAAATCCATATTGTGATAATTCGAGACTTTTTTTATTGATATAAATAATAGCAGTCGTTTTGACATTGCTGTTATTTAAATTTTAACACTTTAGGTATCCATGTTACCCGGGATGGTGAAAGGATTCAAACGATACCACACACATCAGTTCCGGCGCGGCGGAAAATTATGGTAGAATAAAGAATTGTGCAAACATTTTTTGAGCATAATAATGTGTTTACTTTAATTTGATTAAGATAGGTATTAGTAATTTTGTTGTGCACATTGCTAGCACATTTTTCGTTTCTATTATCACCGCATATCAAATCAAACTGTTAACAACAATGAACTTCTACTAACAAGGTAGGTACAACGGTTCTACAACACCCTTTTTCGTCGCTTTATTAGAAAGAAATGATCAAACGGCATTTTCAGAGCACTGGAGCTACTACGTTACGCAGGTAGACTTTTGTAAGACAAACACAAGTCGCGCAGCAGTCAGTCGCGGAATTCGGTGCCTTAATAAAGTTTGAAAGGGCTGTAAAACAGCAGTAACTGTAATTCGGAGAGTCCCAGTTTTAGTGGCGAGGGACCACGATCCACGATACCTATTAATTGATATGTTTACCCTCCACGGAGTTACGTCTCGAGGCAAGTTTTATTTCTACTTACCTCTAAATAACAGAATTGATTTTTCCTCAAAGTTTCATCTATGAGGATTTAAAGTTTGATAGATGCATTCCGTTGTATTTATAAGAAAATGGCAATCTCAATTATTTCTCTCCATGAGTTTGGTAATATTAATAATTCATCTCACAAATATACTTTTTTACCGCAACTTGCGTAGAATGTGAAATTTTAGGTAAAACGCAAAAGAAAAACTCACGGCGCGATTTGTGCCCGCAGAGCGCGCGGGTGTTTGCAGCACTCGCTGCGGCCGCGTGCGGGTCGCTATCACCCGAAAATGCGGCGGGTTCGTATAAAAACCACTCCGTGAGTTCTTAGCCTTAGTTTTTTTTTCCACTACCACGTAGACCTTTGACAACCTTAGAGCCGCCATATACAGACAGGTTGAAGCAGTCGGACTGCATTAGTGAACTACAGACTTCTCCGTACACACATATGGAGCAGTTATCAATCTGTCCGTGTATGAATATTATAAGATAAAGGTTATATTATCTTTAGATGGGTGGTACAAATTAGGCAGACATTCCGCCGTACCGGATATGGACTAAACATTTCCAGTGAAATATAAAGTAAAACTGAGCAGATTCTTAAGTGTGACAAATGGTTCGTGTATGTATTAGGAGCACCATCGCTTTATCTCTTTCTAGACTTTTTAATTACACTCAAGCATTGCTCAGTTCATTCTGTATGTTAAACGGAGTAAAGGATCAGGAATGTCCTATTCCTAATTTTAATAGTATATCTACAATCCAATATATTCCTGCACAGCGCCACCTATGACACAACTTTGGTACTAATCACATAAGATTTGTTACAGTTTTTCTACTCACCATTAGATGGCGCTATTGAATAATAAATTAACCGCGTTCATAGACCTCTGGTGAGTAGTAGTGGAACTAATCACTTAATATAAAGATTACTGAATCTTAAAAAGAGAAACACCTAAAAATACAGCTTAAAAAACGCTTTTGTTAATTGCCAACGATCACTATCCTAAACCTGCTGAGTTTTATTAAAACGTTTATGAACAAAATAATTTTATAATATTTACAATTTTACATGTGATACATACCTCTGATCACATTTGATATTGTATTGCATATATAATAATTCAAGCTTTTAAAAATTATCTAATATAATGATACTCCAAATGTCCAAATCTGTTCAACAAATTAGAAGTTATGGTGAAATAAAGAAATACACTAACATATGTACATACACACATTCACCCTAAAAATATTAAGTTCCCTTCTGGCAGTCGTGTAAAATACATTCTCCTATCATACAAGCCTCTAGTCAGCACATATAGATAATTTATGATGTCCTGCTAGTGTTTTAACCGTCTTAATTTACTAGTCAGTGCCCAAATGGATTTTATGTTAGTAGGGTAAATCATAATAAATTTTTGGTCACCCATCCAAAGACGAAGTTTTTTGAATTTCACGATCGCAAAGTGGAAGCAATAACCACTGCGCTATCGAAATCCTCTATATAATTTATTATTTACAATATAATGCCTTATATTCATTAATTATATACAAAGGCCTTTTTGTATGCCCAAAATGTTATAACATAAAGCAACACGACGGACACGGCCAGGAGGGGCATACACGTCTTTCCCCTCTTTCGAGTTGGGCATACATATCCCCCCCCCCCCCCCAAGAAATTACAGCATGATTTGAATAGAATTATATCGCTATGCCTAACCCTTCCGTGTTGCTCTGTGTTAGAAGTAGAGATCGGATAATCGAATGCATATTTACTTAATGTTGGCTATTATGGAAAATACTTTTTTTTTAAATTCGCGGTTTCGGGAAATTCAGAGGACAATAGCGAAATATTTGTTGAAATAAATCTTTAGCGTCTATAGATATCATTATCAGAAATGATAATAAAATGATCTCAAAAGGTTTATGAAATAATTGAGGAGGGTTGTCTAAGTCTGGAATTAAAATCTAAAAAAAGGGAAACACAAGTGACTAATTTTCTTTTTATTATTGTGGCTTAGCATCATAACTTTTAAGACAATTATTTTAAGTGAATTTAGTGATTAAATCAAGTTCAAGCATGTTATTCGTTTGTTTTACATCGCTTTACTATCTATCTGTAGCTATCAAAAAGATTGTGAAACATTATTTTTTAATATTATACTGAAACTATAATAAATAATCTCCTCAATACAACTTCGTGAGATGTAATAAACCCAGATTGACGGAAATGACAGTTCCCCTGTCTGATAACATAAAATTATTGTAAAGGATGTCCTTAATGAATAAATATGTATTAATTTATGTTTTCTTATTAACCACGCCACCATATCTTTTACACCCTACATACACATATACTCGAATGGGAAATTAAAATGATATTTTAGTAAATATACATCGGATAAGTTACGCGATTCCGGAATGTCGTGATTTTTTTAAATAAAAATACCATGAAACAATTTCCATAATTTGTCTGCCAAAAAATGACTTTAGGTAAACATGCACCCGATTTTCCGATCTCAAGTTAAAAGGATGAAAATAATGTTACCAATTTTAAATTTATTTAAATTAAAATCGAGTATGTACTTACAAAGACCAGCATGATAAAGAACGCAGCGATGTAAGAGCTGCGCGCAGTCAACATGGAAACGAAACGATAATGCTCCCCGGTAATCACGTTTCTGTTGAAAGATATAAAGAGTTACTGGTACATTCAAATAATTACTTTTAAGTCTCATAATAACAAAACTAGAGGATGTGAACGTTTAGTAATACCCTTTTAAAAATATGTACTCATATTTTTGTAATAAAGGTAGGTAATCATTGATATGAAAAATGGTAGAAAGATATTTAAGCTTTGTATTAATCATTGTGTCCCCATAGACAGGAATACCCAGCTTGGGGACTCCTAGTAACTAAATTCATATATTTTATTTTCAGCTAATATTTTATTATAGATATTAAAAAAAATATATAGTCAATGAATCCCAGGAACAATTTTTAACATGTTATTACTATAAAGCTGAAACTACTTGAGAAACTTCTTTTCGATGAGACGCTCTACGAGGAGCGGCTAATAAGTTCGCGACCTAAGGTACTTATCGAAAAGGTCTCATCTCGTTGCTGATAACACAACTTGCGGCACTAATTGTTTCATAAACACTTCAAACAATACTATGTCGACCGAAACTGAAATTTCTCGAAATTTTGAGCACCACGCAGTGATTAAATTTTGTAAAAAAAGGAAACTCACCGAAAGACATTTTTGAAGAAATGTCATCGGTTCTTCAGGATTCCAGGCCATCATATACAATGGTAAAAAAATGGGCTGGGCTTTTTAAACAAGGAAGAGAGAGCTGTCAAGACTACCCCCGCTCAGGCCGACCTGTGACAGTAGTGACCGAAGAAAATGTTCAAAAAGTTGAAAAATTAGTATTGGCCGATCAAAGCATAAAATTGTGGCAGATAGCTGAAGAGTTTCAGATAAGTAAACATCGAATCGGATAAATTTTACACCAAAATTTACACATGAAAAAAAAAACCGTTATGTACCGCGAATGCTCACACCACTCGACAAACAACGTCAACTGGCGTGTTGTAAGGATTTACTGGAGCTTTGTCAGAAAGATTTGGACGACATTTGTAACCGAATTGTGACAGTAGACGAAACCTGGATTCGTCAGTATGATCCGGAGTTGAAACAAGAGTCTATGCAGTGGATTAAAAAAGGAGAAAAACCACCAAAGAAGTTTAAAGTGGAAAAGTCGGCATCTAAGATTATGGCGACTATTTTCTGGGATAGCGAGGGAATTTTATTAATTGTTTACTTGCCTAAAGAAACTACTATGAATCTAGTCAGGCACGTGAATGTGTGTTGTTTTCTGGAAGACAACGCGCCCGTTCACACCGCTCGCGTTTCGAGTAAAAAAAGGAAACCCGCCGAAAGACATTTTTGAAGAAATGTCATCGGTTCTTCAGGAATCCTGGCCACCATATACAATGGTAAAAAATGGGCTCGGCTTTTTAAACAAGGAAGAGAGAGCTGTCAAGACGACCCCCGCCCGGGCCGCCCTGTGACAGTAGTGATCGAAGACCAAAGTTCTTTCTTATGACACCCCTATAGTCCGTAACTGTAATTATGTATAATCATTTTCTAAATCAAATCAGAGTATGATTTTGTAAGTTTTTTATTATATTATTACCAACCTTAAGTATCCTTTGTTATCTTCATTTTCGGCGAGTGTCTTAATTGAGGCCATAAGCAGGTCATCATAACCCAGAAACTCATCGAGGACAAAACGCGAGAACGCATCTCCAAAGCACTCGTCCTTCTGAGGGTCCAATGTGACAATCTTAACCGGGATCTTGAGACGAAGACGTGCACTAGGCGAGAGTCGCAGGAAACCGTACTCAAGTGAATACTCAAGAATATAATCTTCATCTGAAAAAATACAAAGAAAGAAATGTTGAAAATTCATAAGCAAGTTTGATTTTCAGAAAAGTTACAAAGGACATGGCTAAAAAAACCCTTAACGTATAATTATTTTATTATGTTTATATTTTATAATAATTAGTTTCGTGAAATAATCAAATAAATAAAAGTATAAAAATTTACTTCACATCTATTCAAAAAGGAAAATTTCAAGTGTAAGTATATCAAATTATACAATTTTAATTCCAAACTCCAAAAAAATATGAAATTCTTAGACCTAATTTTTTTTAATAAGAAATCACTGATGGCTTAAAATAATAGATTTATTTTTTCTGAGCAGACTTAAACAATGGCTGTATAAGAATTACTTCTTTGATTTTTGCAAATGAACCGAATAAACTTCACAGATTTCCTGTCAGGCCAACAACACTTACAAAGTCTTTGTATTTATTTTTGCTAAATAAATACTTTTTGGATGTGTTAATCAGAGAAATGGGAGGAAATATTGAAAGAAAATGCGACGTTGATAGCTCTGTAAATAATTGGCAATGTATTTTTCAAATGTAGCAAGGTAATGAAGTATGTAGTAGTAATGTGGGCTTTACACTACACAATTTTACCCTTACCCTGACTAAGGGTGGTGTGGTGTAAATTGAGATAGGGAGTAAGGGACTCGATTTAGGGCGATCGGCGTGCTGTAATATTGCTAACACCCTAGCTAGGGGCAACGCCCACCCTTTCGATCGGGCCCTTAAAATTAGGTAGCGTAAAGGCCATTTAAGTTTTCATAATTTTCAGAATTGTAACTTTATCTAAAGTTCCTGAGCCCTTTTCATAGAAGTTATAAATATTAAGCCATTCAGCATGAAATATTACTAAGCACAATATTTATGTGTGTGATTGTACTACATACAGTCTACAAAATTCTGATGAAAAGGGCAGACCACTGTTAATCTTTTAAACTGGCAATGTACCACAATATGATGGATGTTATAAAGTATGTGTTTACCAACAATGGTAAATAGAGAAATGACAAGTCATTGCTTACCTTTTGAAGAGTCATTTGCTGCAGCCTCATCAGTGTCCTGAAATATCAATATTTTCCCTTGAATAATAATTATAAAAAATATTAACAATTTTTGTGCATTAAATTGGATAACTTAGTAATCCATATAGAAAAAAATAACACCATATAAAATGATTATAATTAATAAATTGTACTTTATTTATTCATTCTTCCATATTCAATCAGGTGTGATTAAACATATAAATAAATGAGATCCAGGTGAAATACAGGCAGTAAATGCAAGCATTGATCTCATTTGTATACAATAAAAATATTTCTACACAAGGGCACCCACTAGTGTAGAAACATGCGTCTTCATTTGCATGGAAAACTTAATATCTAACACAAACATTCACCCCCTGCTCATCACTCTTAAAGGCTTATTTCAGGGATAAAAACTCTACTAACTCTAATCCTATGCCCATTCCCAGGACTCAAACTATCACTATAATAAAATTTATCTAAATCGATCCAGAGGTTTAAGTCTGAAGAGGTAACAGACAGACTAACATTATAATATTAGTATGTGAAGTATTTGAAGGTACGAACATAATTAATGTATAAAATTGAACATAATAATTTAAAAAGAAATTCTTTACAATCATCTACAAATATAATTTAATAGGAAGAACTTATAATTAACCCTAATATTTAAATATTATTTCAATGAAGAAAACACTAAATAATATGATGAAAATAATACTTACATCAACAACTTTAGAATCTCTATCGATATCTTCGACAAGACCTATTATTCCTTCCCATATAGAGGAAACAGGTTCAATTTCTTCAGTGGCAACTATTGTTGCATTAAGGTCAGTTTCTTCATCATTTGGCACAAGTTCAGGCCCAGTATTTATATAAGAGGTTTCCATGACTCTTCCTGATTCTATTTCATCTTGATTCTCATCATGAATACGTGTTATGTTTCCATAATCTGTACCATCTCTTATGTAATCATCCTCTTCAACATCATCACTTGATGATGATTCTATATTAATGAACCTTAAAAATCATACAAAAACATATTTAAGTCTTCCATACAAAAATGACAGCTTCCATCAATTTGAAAAATCAACATTTTTAACTCAAAACTAAATATAAATCTTACCCTTCAGTAGCAAGCATCCCAAGCATTGAATTAAGTTCCTCCTTGTCTTTCTTTAATCTACGTTCCTTTGCATAGCTTTGTTCAATAGAATAATCTTGGGCTGGATTTCTTAATATCTCCACCCTAAGGATGCCATCTCTAGGCCAAGACTCTTTTATATGATTTAAACATGTTGTTGGTGTTCTTGAAAAGGCTATATGTATGTAGGCTAGTACAAAGAAAGCAACCAATGCCTTCAGTAGCACAAGAAACTCAAAGAATCTTCTTACAGGTCTAGGGAAGGTGCGTGCATAGGCCACTGCAAACTTGAAAAACAAGGCATGGAAGAGTCTCTCCCGCACATTAAACAAAGGATTCTGATTGTTGTTCCGGTTTCGATTCATTGTTGGATTGATCACTGGGCCTCCTGGCAGAGGATTGTTTTCTGGATTCACTCCAGGAGGTAAGTTATTAGCAGCAGCTCCACCTCCAGCACTCATTTTTATATCAATATTATTTATATTCTTACCTACAGTTAACAGTTAGATGTAAACATCTCGCTTTTACACCTACAAGAGAAAGTTTGCCTAATTTATGACCTCTGCTTTTTAACCTCAACTATCACAATTAAATGACCTATGCATGCATATTGTATTTAAAGTCAAGTTATTGTTAGAGAAAATAGCTACATAAAATCTTCTTCAAAGGCTTGAATGAAATTCTCAAATGATTCCGAAATTCTGTATTGCAAATGAACAAAATAGATTCTTTTCTAGTCCTATAAATGACGCTACCGAATAACATTTGTGGAAAGAATAGATTACTGTATTTTAACTGTTTAAAGCAGAATTTGGCCCCGTTATTATTACCATTTGCAAATCTCACAGGTCAAAGAGTAAAAGTGCCTAACGCAACCTTAACGACATGAAAGTAAAATCTTACCCAAACGTCTTACACACTAGTTACACATCCGATAAAAATAAATAAAGCAAAAGAAATACTATTAATTACCTAGAATATTTTAGATTACTACTAAAATTATTGACTATAATTATGATTGTTGTTCACTTTCTCGTTATTAAAACAAAATCGAGATAAATAAAACTGAAACCTGTCAAATCTCATACGTCAACACAAATGTCATTGCATTTTTTTTTTATTTTCCTTTTTCACGGAAGGCAAAGGGAATAATGCCCATACAACCTAGTCTTAAGGTTATTGATCTTTTTTATTTGTAACCCTTTGTCTCGTTCTTGCACTATCCCAGCCTACAATACAAATATGATAAATTTTAAATGAATAACCAATTCTATTCCCTTATCATTTAAATGTTATTTTAAGAAATGGCGGTCGTCGTGTTATAATAATGATGAAAAACTTTCAAAAATCAATGATGGCATTAAACTTATACGTTTGTACATAATAATAATTTTCATTTTATTTTTATTTTCGTTTGTACATATTAAAAAACTTCTTATTGTTTAAAAAAATATAAAGTTATGGTCATTCTATTAGAAAGGGATAAAAGATGAGGATAAAAGGAATCGCATCTCATCTTTCACTCGTCCCGTTTTATCGACAACAAAAGGCCTGATTCTGGTAGGATTCTCGATACCTATTATAAAACAACCAACAAGCAGGATCTGAGACCGATGTCCTTAAAATCCTTGTCATTTCATGGTCTCTAAAGAAAAGGTAAGATCGTTGTCAAATGTAGCCTTAGGGGCGTCCGTTGCTTTAAGCTGCTTGCTACACCCGCTTCAGTCCGCGGACGCTCTTACCGTCCTAAAATTAAATATTATACCGTGATCAACGATTTGCATCATCAGAAGAAGCTGTTGCGGTCACGGTCACCACGGCGCGAAGTGGCATAAATGTTTTCGAACTTTGTATATTACGAGAAAAATTATGCCTCTCCTTCTGCAAGCTTCAAGGAGCCACCTTTACAATTAGCTTAATTCGGTGCACAATGAAAAATACTTTTTAAACAAGGTGTAGATAATTTGTGAACTTATCTAAGGTTTTAATTTATTTAAATAACAAACTGGCAAGCTAATAGGAATCTGTTTATTAAAAAAAAAACAAATGAACACTATAACCCGGGAAAAACTATTGTTGATCGTTGTTCATCATTGATTTTTCTGGCCACTTCTCTTTTGCTGGCCGCTGCAGTAATGTGCCTACTATTGAAATTCTCATGAATCACTTGTTTTTACGTGTTTCCTTCATTAAGTAATAAATTATTAACATTGAACCTTAGAGATACAATTGTTTAGATAATTTGTGAACTTATCTAAGGTTTTAATTTATTTAAATAACAAACTGGCAAGCTAATAGGAAGCTGTTTATTAAAAAAAAACAAATGAACACTATAACCCGGGAAAAACTATTGTTGATCGTTGTTCATCATTGATTTTTCTGGCCACTTTCTTTTGCTGGCCGCTGCAGTAATGTGCCTTATTGAAATCCTCATGAATCACTTGTTTTTACGTGTTTCCTTCATTAAGTAATAAATTATTAACATTGAACCTTAGAGATACAATAGGGAAGATGCATATATAATATTTATGAAAATTTTATGATTTAAATGTTAAAAAAATATAAAAGAAATGCCACTGCAACATTTTTATTTTACATAATGTTGTTTTTTAACAATTATTACGAATTAAAAATACTTGAAACAGAACGTATTTTAAAACAAAAATCAGCGTTTAGTGACGTCACTCCTGTTATGACAACTTCTTTGAGGTTATGGTTGTTAAAGTAAATATTATTTTATGGGAATATTAATTGCGTTTTTTTACATTTAATAAAAATGGAAGTTGCGTTTATCAAAGCAGACTCCAGGAATTTACCAAGAGTTAGTGTTGACATGGTTATAACTTTTTTTATCCAAAGTGCAGAGTTTTTAAGTGTAGAAATGAAAGGGACTAAATTACTACGGTATGTAAAAATCGTAGTTGTTAAACTTCGTATTTTATTCAGCGGCTTCTACAAATCTTACGGCGATAATGCAATCGGCTATGTTCAAATTAAAAGAGATGGAGAATTATGTACAGTAAAAGGTCGAGTTCTCCGGAGCATAAAGTACGTAAAGAAGGTTATCGTGTTACAGTTATTTTAAATGAAACGCAAAGCTTGGTTCAGTCCTGCCAATGTGAAGATTGTGCCACACATTTTAAAGTTTATCTAATTTTCGACGTCATTCTCCAACTGTAAAATTAAAAATATGTTATAGACAGGTTTTGTAAGTATTAGGTAGGTTACTAATGCGTTTTAACGTACAAGCAGATTAATTAAGCATATAACAAGTATATTCGCCGACTTACGTCAAAGTGATCTTCACAGCATCGAATAATGGTCTTTGGAGAATAATTGTCATTTCTCTTCGCAGCTTCAAACCACTTTTTTTTTCAGTTTTGGGTCAGAAGTTCCAGTCAAAAACAATTTGTTTGGAAACTTTGTTGAAGTAGATTGGCACAAAACATGAGTCAACACGCTTTTTTCGGAATATTAGTGGTATTGTTATGATCACATGATGTTGATGGATAGTCCATTTTAAATTTTTCAAAAAAATATTTCGAAAGTCGATAAAATATGCAAAAGTATGAAAATTTAAAGCCCGCGACGAACAAGTACGACCAGTGACAGACAGGAGTGACGTCATCACAACCATAGGTTCGTTTTCGCGCGAAAATTTAAATTGTCAATTTAAAACCGCATTTTTTCCGATAAATCACAATGTTTTAATTTTTTAATATATCTGTGGTTTATTCTACATGGAATTCTTTAAAATGAAAACAAAAATAAAAATATTGCATCTTCCCTATTGTTTACGTCGCAATAACTATTTCCTTGCTTTTGAGTTTAAATAAAAGTGATGTATCATCCGCGAACAATACTATCTCATGGTTATCTCTTACATAGTAAGTTGGGTCATTCATATAAATTGAAAATAAGAAAGTATCAAGGATTAAGCCCTGTGGAACACTCATCTTAACCCGCGAACCCGGAGACTTATTGCCATTAATGTCAACCCTCTATCCCTCAGGCATGATGCAATAAGATCCAGATTGGTATCTCTAAAACCATAGTGGTGGAGTTTCCTCAGTAATGTTTCATGAAAAATGCTATCAAAAGTCTTTGACTAGTCGCAAAACACACCTACAGCGTTCTGCGAGTTCTCCTAGGCGTCAAAAATTTGTTGTACAAGTTTAACACTGGCTTCGGTTGTTGAACGACCCCGTGTGAAACCATATTGTTTATGGTGATGTATATTATATTTAGGCAAACCAAAAATGGCAAACCTTATTATTATAGAGAATTATTCGTCCCAAGTTTTATTTCTTTTAACTCATAGAAAAAGATTATTCATACAATCTTTCATCCCCTTTGTTTTACACTGTTAGGGGTAGATTTTCGAAAAATCCTGATACACGTTATTTTTTTTCCGATCTTTAGTAATAATGCCAAGTTAATCGAAATGCTCGTTAATATTAAACCATATATAAAGATCAACACCCCTCCGATCCCGTTTTAGGGGGTAGTTAAAGAAAACTAAAAAAAATAAACTATGTAATTTATCTAGATAAGTGTTCGTGCCTAGTTTCAAGTCTGTTAACGGAAAAGGAATAACATTTTTCATGCAAACTTTCATCTTGGGGGAGGGGGGGGGAGTGCATTTTGGAAAAACCTTTCTTAGTGCATAAGGAACCTACGTGCAAAATTTGGAGTCTCTAGACTTAGCGGTTTGAGCTGTACGTTAATATGTCATTCAGTCAGTTTCTTCTTTTATATATACAGATTAAACATCTTTTTTTTATTATAATTTTCCACGTTTGGGCAATTTTTATTGAATTTTGTATAGGTGTATATTTTTCACGGATCAATCTCCACGGATCGGCAGCCATAATTTTACGGATCATTTGTAATACAAAAGGGGGGATTTTAACGAGCGCAGTGGGTATTGGTTGAGAGAAAACGTAGTCTCATGCGCATTATAAAAGCCATACAATCTCCACAATGCACGTGCACCAACTGCAGACAGTCTGATTGATGTCTTAATTGTCCATTGACATCTTAAAAGTTTTTTTTCTTTTCTTTCTATAACTTTACCCCGCTTTTCAATAGGCTAATGCTTTGATGGATTGTAGAAAAAAATTGTCATACACTGATGTTCAGGCAGGTAGTGAATATAGGTATCATGTTCTGTTTATTAAACGTATTATTACAGACAAATTTATATTTATTTGACAGGCAGCAATCTCTTTACAGAATTTTACATTAAATTACAAGAAATCGGAGTATCGTAAGGTTGATGCAGCTGTTAGAGTGAATCGATTTTCGTGAATCTTCGTTGACTATATTTTTATTCTCACATTTTTACAAAGAGGAGTTTTCTAATTTGACGTGAATGTTTGTAATCTATAGAATTCACAATACTCTTATTATTATGACAGCCTATGTACGTGGACTTCTGAATACGTGAGTGTGAGTAGGT